GCAGATCTACGAACACTAAAAAAATCTTAAAATTTGACGGCTCAAAAACTGCATAACATGATACACTATTTTTAAGACTTGAAATCTATTTTTTTTCTCATATGCATATATTTTGAGGTCGAGATGATCGATTTGAGGATTTTTTGACATCGAAACAACTTCTTCTAATGAAATCTTGAGATGCACCTTAATTTGATTATTTATGGCCTCACACTTATATAATCGTTTTCCATTCTAATATCTTCTTGAGGGAAAAAAGTTTATACAAGTTAGTAAACTTATACTATTAAAGTAAGGTGCATCATACGAATCATCTAGAAGAGATTGGAGAAGCTTTCAATTGATCATTTCGACCTCGAGATATATAGATATTAAGACAATTTTAGTATAAAAAATAGCACATCTTGTAAGAAGCTATCAAGACCATCGATTTTAGAGATTTTCAAGTGTTCATAGATTTGCGATGAAGTCTATTGTTATAATTTTAAATTTCATAACTAGAATATCATGTTTTTCAGGTAATCTCCCCTATTGTGAATTTGCGTTACCCTCATAGTTGATGTATCGAGTTAAATAATATACTATCAATCCAATATATTTAGGTCACCCCCTAAAATGAACATTGTAAACATTGTATCCCTAATATTTTTAGTATCACACTCTAAACTCAATCTTGATTTTAATCCCACTTAAAAAGTAAATCATTTAAAGACTAAAATACGCTTCCCCTCTCTCTTTCTCTCTCACTGTCTACCTGCCCTCTCTCTTTCTCTCTCACTCTCTACCTGCCCTCTCTCTTTCTCTCTCTATCAGCCCCTCTCTATCCGCTTGTCCTCTCTCCCACTATCCACCCTCTCTCTCTCTCTTTCTCTCTCTCTCCAAAAGCCTGCGATCAGTTCGACACATTTTTTTGCCAGACTGAATTTTTTTTTTTGCAGTCTAGCACAAAAATGTGCCGAAACCGGTCATAGGCTTATGGAAATCGAAAAGCCCCATATGACGGTCCGGCATAGTTTTATGTCAAACTGAAAAAAATTTCGGTTCGGTACAAAACTGTGTCAGACAATCTTATGGGGCTACTGGATATCCAAGAGCTTGTGACCAGTCAGGCTCAAAAGTGAGCCAGACCGTCTTATGCCAGTTTTTAAGCTAAGTCTAGAGAAAGAGAGAGAGAGGGTGGGTAGAGAGAGAGAGAGGGGCATGGTAAATAGAGAACGGGTAGAGAGAGAGGGGAAGGGTCGCTTAGCTTTTAAATGACTTACGTTTTGATTAAGGGGTAAAATCAAGAAACAAATGCATTTCGGTTTAGATTGTAATATCAAATATTGAGGGATACAATGGGTACAAAATTCATTTTGAGAGTATCAACAATTTTCCTTTTAAAAAATCCCGTTATTATTTTATGAATTCTTAAAGTATATAGCTGTGATATAGTACACCAATGTTTGAGAGAGAAGTGAGCTCCAAATATGGTAATCCTAAACATGGTCCTGTGCGCCGTAGAGAGAGAGAGAGAGAGAGAGAGAGATGAGAGATGAGAGTTGCTTCTTTAAAAAGATTGTCATATTAAACATGACATGACGCAGCACAGAGAGAAAGAGAGAGAGAGATTACATTGAGATTCAAATATATTAATCTACACCATATATGGTAATTACATATTGGTCTTTAAATATAAGACATTTTTGCAGAGGTCTTGCACCCTGTTTTATTTTTGTTTTAACTTTGCCTCGAATTTTTGCAGAGGTCATATTTGTTAACTTTGCCTCAAATTTTTGCAGAGGTCTTGTACCCTGTTTTATTTATTTTTTAATTTTGCCTCAATTCGATATTTCAAATATCAGATTATTTATTAATTTTATTTTTTATTTTTTGATATTTATAGTAAAAAATATCGAATAGCCACATTTCTAGTGTGGTTTGATATTTGAAATATCGAGCTGCCCTACATTTCAAGTCATTCCTGTGTCTGTAGCTGTACGATGTTAGAAATATTGGACCGCTCTGCATTTAAGTGTAATTTCTTTTGTTCAGTGGTATAATATTTAAAACATCAGATTGAATCATACTTGAACAACGTTTACGTTTCAAGCAGTCTAATGTTTGAAACATTGCATCATTTTTTATTCTAAATAATTTTGAGAACAAAAAACGATATGATGTTTCAAACATTGAACTGGTATATGATATAATTGCGATACTTTGAACATGGAACCCTTTTACCTAAATTGGGGCTTAAAAGCCCCAATCCCACATCCATTCCCATTTGCACTCAGCTCTTTCTCTCTACTCGCACCCTCTTTTTCTCTCTACTCTCTTGTACCCTCTCTCTCTCTCTCTATAAGCCTTCTATTTTCATTTTTCCTCTATTTTTTATTGTGGGTTTCCTTGTACTAGTCGAACGCTTAGGCGCTAGGGTTTTAGTAGTCGTCACTTCATCACTCAAGAATTAGGTTTAGGCGTTTTTTTATATAAGTATAGACCAATGTTGTCATATCTGCTTTAGAGTCTTTTACGATTTGATGAGAAAAATGAAGCAATTCGGTATTTCAGCTAATTCATGGGAAGACTTAGGATTTTTTTTTTAATTTAATATAAATAAATTATATATTTATATATAATATACAAAACTAATAGAAAATTTTAGAATAAAAAATAAAAAATATTTTTATATAGTTGTTTTATTTTATGACCGAAGCAGCCCAAAGCTTCAGCTGAAACAAACTCGAAGAGACCCGAATATGACCGAAGCAGCCTCGAATCGTATTGTGCATGGAAGCTCTAAATCGATGAGTTTATTTTTGGCAAATAAAAAAGAAATAAAACAAGATTATGGGTGGGAATGAATTACACCAATCTAGATCGAGAGAAATAAAACCTGAAATACACACCACAAGAACACAAAGATTTAAGTGGTTCACCTAAGAGGGCTATATCCACAGCACGGCAAACATAAATCATTATACCAATGAAAATTACATCAAAGATTTTAGAGCAAAGCTCAACAAAATATCTAAGTCGAGCAAACCCGTTTAAACCACTCTCCCTGCCTTCTTTTTACTTCTGACAACCATTACCGACAACGCCAGATATAGATGCGAGAGTAACGAGAAACTGACTTTGTTTTTAACGAAAGGGGAAACCACCCAAAATCTCAATGGGAACCGCTTCTCTATAAGAAATAAACAAGCCTCTCAATCTTCGGAAGTATAAAAGAGGCATCATCACAATGTTTCTCTCCAAATGAAGCTTTATTCTCTCTAAGAGGAAATCTCCAAATGAAGTTTTATTCTCTCTAAGAGGAAATTGCATCTTATTTACAGGAAACTCTAGCTCCCTTTATCCCCAGATGAACCACTATTCCCATATGGTAACCAAAATAGGGCACTCAAATTCTCTGCACTTTCATCCCATATATAAGATTAGGATTCCATACTAAATAAGAAACTTCTTGTGGATCTTACATACATCTCAAAACCAGGAGATAGATTTAAGAGTCCTAATCTTTTTGGATTTCTATTTGTTTTAGGAAACTTATCAATATAATTCTCAATCCCAAAAAATATGAGAATATATCAATCCCACATAATATGGGAATATCTCAATCCCACATAATATGGATCAATCTCAATCAATCTTACAAAATATGAGATTTCTTTACGTGGGTGATTTTGGATAACACCAAATCTAATCTGATCGAAACAGGAGCACCACATTTTTCTTCGCTTCGGTTTATGCTTAAAAACTGAAGGCTTCGGCCTGTTCAGTAGAAGCGAAAAGAATTTGAATAAATTGGTATAGATGGTAAAATTTCATAACACGTCAATGTTATTTGTTTCGATATCTTTTTGTTATTTTTTTAATTTAATCTTAGAAGCAAAAGAGTTGTCCCAAATATAAATTTCCTTTCATTTTTTCAAGATATTACTTTCAAGTTTTTGTTCAAATTCCCTAACCCTTAACTTTGGGTGAAGGGCTATATTGTCGATGTCCTAGTCAAATTTTTTTTGGAACACAAAAATATTGATAATCAAGCTTTTTTTTTTAGTAACTCAGTGGAAAAGACAGGCTCCTACCAGTGGGAACGGTGTTGGGGCCGTCGTGGTAGCAACCCATACCCTAGTCACCACGTTGTGGTTTTCATTCCTACCACTATACCACCCTACTAACACATTCATAAAGCTAACTCCTAATCTACTTGATAATTAATTTTTTTAGGAAAGGAAAAGCGTATTCAATGCAATATTTGCGTCCCCTAAACAGATAAAAAAAAAATGGTGCTCCCAAAAAGGATCAAAATAGATGGTTGAGAATTATTCTTTAAAAAAGGTGATTTTTTAATTTTTAAAATGTAACTATTTCGTATATTCCCAAAAATAGAAAACGGAGAGAGGAGGCACATCTACATATAAGTTGACCAACTCATATAAATTTTGTCCACTAGAAAAATAATATGTCCCTTATTTATGGATGTAGTTTCTGCAAGGCCAAGGCTTTACGGAAGAAAAGTAAAGCCTTTCCTCAAAACTTCTTTCGGAAAGAAACATTTGGGTCCTAGATTGGGTCAGATTTGAGTCCATTGCCACCCTTAGTTTTGAGGTGAGGCTCTACTTGTTTTGAAAGAGTTCACATGTCCTACATAACATTGAAAAACGTCTATATAAGAGTGAGGCTCTAAACAATCAAATTAAGACACACCTAAAAAATTTCAATGGTAGATGTTGTTTTGATGCCAAATATCCTCAAATTGACCATCTCGACCTCAAGATGCATGGATATGAGAAAAAATGGATTTCAAATTTTGGAAATAATTCATTTTGTAATGACTTTTAATTTTCGATATTTTCAAGGTTTCATAGATCTGTTCGATCTACACTGTTTTTGAAGCTTCAAATTTAATAATTAAAAATAAAAATAAATTTTAAAACTCTCACGAAAACTTTTAGTAATGAAATCACATTCATCGATACTATTTGAAAGTTTTCTTTACTTTTAATTTTTGGAAACTCGATCTTACACAAACCGCACCCATAACAATTTCCCCTCTAAAATTTTTGCTAGGGCTGGTCTTAGGGCGTAGGGTGCTACCACCGGTCCTTTCACATTCTGTCCGAAATCCTTGGCAAGCAACCATGCTCCGTCCCTCGATTTCTTGCCTGATGCGATGGTTTATTAGGGCTACAACCTTAAATAATTTTCTCATTTCTATGTATTTCCTTCATGTATTTCACCTTTATCTCTCTACACATTTGCTCCCTCCCCCTCCATAAATTCTGGCTCTTAATCCCCAGGAAGACCAACCCGTTCTCGCTCTGCTATCAGAGAGAAGAGTGTAGCAGTAAGCCCACCCAGAAATCATCACCAATCGATCAGGATGAGTGCCTTGGTCGACCCCTCTTACATCCAACCGGAGCAGTACCGGGTCAAGCCCGGTTCTGTTCCGGTGGTCCGGTGGGCGAGAACACCCCGGTGATTGATTTCACTCCCCTCTCAGCCGAAAAGTCGACCCTGCCATGAAGGCTAAGCTCGCCAAAGAGGTGGGCGCAGCTTTCAGAGACTGGGGCTTCTTCCACTGCATCAACCACTGCATCCCCAAAAAGCTGACGGACACAGTGACTGAGAATCTGAAACTCTTCTTTCACCAACCATTGGAGGAGAAGATGAAGGTGCAGCTCGACTTGACTCACCCCGTCAGTTACAATAACAATTATTTCACCAGCAATGTGAGGGATTGGGTCGAGATATACGACTACATCCTCAAAGATAAGATCGAGGTGCCTGTAACGCATGAACAGGAGGATACCATGATTATGCAGTTGCACAACCACAGGCCCGCCTACCCGCCGGGCTTCCAGTAAGACTTACAACTTTCTCTCTAACTCTCTTTCTCTCTCTAACCCAATGATTATTTGGTTTTGAACAGGGAATTGCTGGATGAGTAAGGGGTATGGATGGCTAAATTATCGTTTGAGATATTGGAGCTGACGGCCCTGAGCTTGAGCTTACCTGCGAATAGGTTCAGGCCCATGTTCGCGGACCATGCAACTATTAACAGGGTAAACCACTATGAGCCATGCCCTGCCCCTGACATGGTGCTGGGAAAGGGGTGGCAGGCCGATATCAGTGCTCTCACTCTGCTGTCCCAGGGCCAGCCCAGTGGGATCAAGATCAGGGGCCAGGACAATGACTGGATCAAGGCCAAGTTCATTCCCCACTCCTTTACTATCCAGATTGGTGACCTCATGGAGGTATATATTGCTATTGTATCAATATCATATTTGCTTCTCTCTCAAAATACTCATAATAATATTTGTTTCTCTCTCTAACAGGGGTACACATACGGGCTGTACAAGAGTGTAGAGAACAGGGTGGTGGTGAGTGGAGAGAAGGAGATGTATTCAGTAGCGCTGGCGTTTGTGCCGGCCATCCTTTGCCTGAGCTTGTTAACGAGCAGAACCCAGCAAAGTACGAGCCTTTCAACTATGGCAAGTTTTATAGGGTGAGGAGGCTCAGCAACTGGGTGAATTTGGCGAGTGAGAATGACATTGTCACCATTCACACCTTCAAGAAGCCTACTACTCAAACTCCCACTGCTGCTACTACTGCTACTGTTGCTGCTTAAATCTTTTCACCTCAAGCCACCCTATTTTCTCCCTCATCTCTTAAAATTTGCTTTAAAGATTTGAGCCTTCTTTCTCTCTCTTAATGTTGTCATTATGTCTCTTAATGTTGTGCTTATGTCTCTTATTGTTGTGTCACTCCTGTAATCTAGATGTTGAGAAATGAGTTTGGGTAGCAATAAATGAGCTTTCCGTTTACACTTCCAGTCTGCAGTACTTTGTGAGGAACAAAACTCTCTCTGTCTCTCATTTGTGTGTTGAGGAATTAGTTTATCTTGGTGGAAGAAATAATTACAATAAATAAAAATAATAAAAGGTAGGAGAATATACTCTCTTTTAATATTTTTTTACGAGATCAACTCTTTACCGAATCACCAATTCTCTACTTATAAAGAAATGAGATCTCCCCTCTAAATACACTTAGAAGATAGAAAATAAATAATTCAAAAAGGGCGCGGTTTCTCTAAGGTTGCAACCTTAAACAATCCAATTAAGGCGCACCTTAAAATTTTATCATAACATGTAATTTTGTTGTAAATAATTTTTAGTATTATCTTAAAATCTATTTTTATACCTAATTGGAAAATTTTTAATTCCAAAAATGGTTAAAATCAAGTAGATCTATAAATATATGAAAATCTTGAAAATTGACGGTCTAGATAATGTGTTGCAAGATTCCCCATTTCCGAGACTCAAAAACTTTTTTTTTCTATATTCATACATCTCGATGTCGAGATGATTGATTAGAGGGTTTTTTCAACATTAAAACAAGATTTCCGATAGATTTTTTAGGTGCATATATGATTCTACATTTTAAGGTTGCAACCTTATATAAACTTTTATCAAACCACCAAAAAAGTCATGTCTCCCCCTCATCAAACCATATTAAGTAAGTTTTATCCTAACTAAACCTAATTAAAATTTATCTTTTTAAAACCAACTTAATCATTTTCCAAATATTAAAACCAACTACATCCCCAAAACAACTCACATTCTACCCCATTCACTAAAACAAAAATTATGGCCCAGTTTGGATCTCCAATAAAAATAATTTGTTATTCATAAAAATTGCAAGTTTTTAAAATGAAAATTGAAAAGCCTTTTTTCTATTCTTATAAAGTCTATTAGGTGTTACACGATGATTTTATTTTAGTCCCCACTATGGATTTGTAATACTTGTCACAAATCCCTAGCTTCACCAAATGGTCACTCCCTCCTCCCCTCTTACCTCCCCTGATCACTTTTCTTTCTCTCTCTCTGCATATTTTGGATCAATGTATTAACCGTACCCTCGCTCCAAATGTCGGGTTTCCGTTGATTCTGATGAACCCTAGGGTTTTCTGCGAAAACTTATCCGTCTCCACAAATTTAAGGTTTGTGTTATTTTTTAGAAACATTGGGGTTCTCTCTCTCTTTCCAAAAAAAAGCCATCAAATCAAACAAAAAATAAAGAGAAACCCAAATCCAAAATGGGTACCTCTTGTTTTGTTACAGTGGCCTCAGATTTTTACTTCAAATCTCTAGCCCCTCTGTTTGAGCTCTCAATTTTCTTCTTAGTCGCAGTCAAAGTTCCCTTATTCAATTTATTGGGAAATGTGATCTTGGCCTATGTGGTGGTAATCGATTGATATAGCATCATATATATGGTTTGAATCACAACTTCATCATTGAAAGCAAACGTTTTGTTGGCCAAGTATTTAGGGGCAATTATTGCTCTTTCCTCTGAGATTAATTTATGAGATGTACTACTTTTTTTTGTTGGGTTTGTTGTGGAAAAATTTATTCTAAAAATGAATGATGCGGTCCAAAATTTTCCATTATTTAGATGGACGAGCACCAATAATTCGTCTTGCCATGCCGACAATAGACCATAGAAGTCCAAAGTTAGCATTCAATTGGAATCTTAATGCACTAAGTATTATTATTTTACAATTGTTTTTAGCAACATTTTACAATTCTTGGCATGTTGCTATGGTATATTTTGATGGGGGAACACATCCTCTCTAACTTTTTGTTAAAAAAAAAATATTTTGATGCGGATGGTAGCGTCCACAAGCACCCTTCGGTTGCATTGAAAATCTAGTCTCATTTTCTTTTATTTAAAAATTATCTTAATCAAAAATTCAAAGTGTAAATACATTTTTATATGGCAAACCAAATAAAAGAAACAAAAAATATTCCACCAGACGAATTTATTAGGGTACTCTAGTCATTGTGTTGCTGAAGATATTAGTAAATTATTTTTTATTTAGTGTGCTATATTAAAATACATCTGCAATCTCAATTTTAGTTAAAGATAATTTTTAAAAAAAATAAAAAAAAATAATTTTATCGCCATTGTATATACCCTTGTTCAAACTCAACCAATGGAAGGATGCTTACGTACCCTGCCATCTATATAACACACCAACTAAAAAAAATAAAAAATATTCTAAACATGTCCAAAAGATTTCTTTTGTGGGTACTCTGAATATTGTCTTGCTCAAAATATTATTAAGTTATTTTTATTTGGTGTGTTGTATTAAAATACATTTGCAACTCAAATTTTAGATAAAATAGTTTTTAAATAAAAAATAAAAATAAATTTATTTTATGGCAGTTGGACATAACCTTTTTCAAACTATAGTTACTGGGGATCGTCCAACTAGGGTGGCGCTCCCGTTCCGGAATCTAGTTCCAGCACTCCGTGGCTCGGATCTCAACCGGAACCGTTCTAATTTTTTTAGGATCTGACTTCTATTTATATGATTCTCGATCCCATTCATAACGAAACTTGATCCCACAATCCCACAAATCGAGATCTCAATTTCACACGGAACACATTTCTTTAAATTGTAGATCTCGTGCCCTTCACTCACACGTGTGTGTTAGAATATGTGTTAACACCACACAAAACGTTTGTGCTACCGATGGAGTAAATTGTTGTTTAGTGCCATCAAGGAGTAACCTGAGTTATGGGAGTAACCTGAGTTAAATTTGAAGTTTTATAGAGGGAAAGTATCTTAAAATTTATGGGAGAAACCATATCGAATTTTGGAAAAAAATCTACCTGAAAAATTTTAGAGATAGAAAATATATAAAAATTTTAGGAGAGAGAAATTGTCAACTATCTGAAAATTCAAATTTTTAAAGAGAGGAACTGTGTCAAAATTTTTGGAGAGAGAAACTATGTCAAATTTTAATTTTTTAGATAAATAAACTATTTAAAATTTTTAAAGAGAAACTATATCAAAATTCTAAATTTAATGTGATCTCTCCCTATAATAGCCATCCAAATTATACAAAAAAAATGATCCAAACATGAGATTTGCTTAACATGGATACCATTCAAAGCCATCCAAACAAGTCCTACTTGTGTAACAAAATTTTAACATAATCAAAATTTGAGATAACCAGGTTTTGATTCAAAACCTATGTTTGTTAACCCATGGAGCCAAACGAGCCCTATATTCTTGAGTGACTAGAAGTTTATAGGGGAGTACGCTTTTTCGGAATACTTAGGTGTTCTTGAAGAAATTTAGTTAATCAAGAATCTTGAATTAATGCTACCTTTTGTAAGCTTATCACAAATCTAATATTCAAAGATATCAAAAAAGTGATGAAAATGAAGGAGATGAAACAAGGATAAAGTTTATTTACATCACTTTCTTTCTTTCTTATTTTTTTATTTTTTTATTTTTATTTTTTCACTCGTATTTGGCAAGGGTATGAGATTTTATCGATAAAAGATCAAATATATTACAAAGTATCTAAATCAAAGACTCTGAAATTACAATGTCCTCTATCACTGCACACCTTGCTTAGCCCAACAATCAGCCACTTCATTGGCCTCCCTATAAATTTGAACAAAAGAGACAGTCCAAGACTTTGTGATATCCATGACCTGCATCCATAATGATCTTAGTGGCTAAGGAGAACTGAACATCTGATTACACCAATTAATCAGATTAAGTGAACCCCCTGAACGATCAAGCATCCTCCAATATGCCTCTCCATGATTAATCTCACTCCCTGTAATAAATTCATCATTTCAGCATGGTTTGTAGTCACACATCCACATGGACTTGTATAACAAACAATAACGTTCCCCATACCATCCCTACAAAGACCTCCCACACCAACCTGAGCGGGGTTGCCCAACGATGAACCGTCAAAGTTTATATTCACATATCCTCTCACAAGCGGTTGCCAGATGCATCATGGCCTAACCTTAATCACATTATAAGATTAGCCAGATTTAATTCAAGTTTTTTTTACAACATTTCGAAACAAACAAATTTGAGTTATTGAAGATCTTTTAGAAAAGGAGAAAGTTTATATAAGGTTGCAACCTTCTACAATAGAAAAAAGTAATAACTCAAAAATCAAATAGAAAAGAGTGTTACATAGTTAGAAAACCTTCATCTCGACATCAAGACGTAAGGATATAATGAGAGAGAAGAACTTTAATTCTTAAAAATAAAGGATCTTGTAACAAGTTTTTTGGACTGTCTATTTTTAAAATTCTTTTTTATTTATACAGCTACTCTATCTACACCATATTTGAAATTTTTGATTTCATATTTAAGGTTAGAAATAGATTTCAGGCCATTGTAATGTTTCAGACATCGGAACTATATCTTCCGACAAAATTTAGAGGTGCATCTTACTTGTATAGTATAAGGTGGGCTCCTCAAACCAACCTCACCTTTTAGAAAGAATACAATTTGTACAAGGGCAAACCTTAAAAAATCAAAGTATGGTGCAATTTCAAATTGTACCAAAAGATGCAATTTCATTACCGAAAATCCCTTTGATTGTCAAAGAATCTATGTGAAATTTAAATAGTACATATCAAATAGATCTATAAACATATCATAGTCTGGAAAATGGACGGCTCAAATAATACATTATAAGGTGCACTATTTCAATAACTAGAAATCAATTTTTTTTTTTTTTCACATCCAAACATCTTAAGGTTGAGATGTTCAATTAGAGGGTGTTCCAACGTTGAAACAACTTTTTCCAGACAAATTTTGAAGCACACGTTACTTTTTATAATATATGATTGACACCTTATATAAACTTTTTTCTTTAGGAAGCCGATCTATAAAACCGTTTTTCAAGATTTTCTAGAAATTTATATTTTAATCAAATACTTGCTCACATCATGGATTCATGATCTCTCTTTCTACTGGTCATGCATTGCATTGATACTCTCTTTC